GATAGAGATGGAGATGCAGCTGGAAAGACATGTCCTCGCCACCGGCCCGAGGAGGTGCTCCAGCTGGCAGAACACCACTCACTCACTCACTGCACCACCTCAGCCACAGAAGATAGCTGGCACAGCTGGCACGTGGGCTGGGTGGCTGATTTGGGGGGTCGGGTGGTCCGTGCTAGCGCCAAATTAACCTTAATATTTTCCCGTGCAGCCACACATGTGACAAACCTCAGCGTCCAATGTTCAAGTTGGGTGCTCCGTTTCTTCCCTTCCCCTTCTCTGTTGGGCGTGCACTCTTCAATCTCCCCTCAACACCACACCGGCTAATTTGATGTCCTTCCAAGAAGCCTTCCAAGAAGGCCAAAAATATCTGATGGCCTTTTGTCAAGCTGGGCGCTTATGTAACTAGGCCAAATCCAGCATCGGGCCCTTCGCACTAACCACCTATCTACGCCTTGCCGCTGAACCCCTGCCCTGTTTGAATATCGAGTTCCTGCCTCTGTTTTACGAGGGCCGGCAACGGCAAGAAATAAAAATGTTCAAGACATAATCTCAGGCTATCTGATTTGTTGGAAATAGGCTCGTTCTCCTTCAGGATGATGGCAAACTGGGCTTTCACCAGAGACCCTTCATCAACGCCGTGCCATGTCACTGGTGCCAGTCGCTTTCCGAAGATGCTGCCGGAGGTAGATCATGACATTAGACCTTTGGATATCCTTGAGTTCTAGAGCGAGTCTCTCTGAGAGTCATCCGTACCCACAACTCCACCTCAGTCACACCTAACAAACGTTCCCTACTCAATGCAGAGCACTGTTGGACCCGCATCATTCCCTGTGTGCACAGAACGTGGCAAGCAAGAGGTGCGTATGGATACCAGCCTTGTCTTGGACCTACCAGTTTGGACCCTCCCCCACGTAGCCGACTGTACTTTGCAAGGACCTCAACGAAGACCCTGCTTCTCCTGCGACCACCCTTCCCTGTCCTGCTTTCCCGTCAAGACGGACCAACAGCTGGGCCATTGTTTGTCAACTCAAATGGTTCCACTGCCTCCTTGCCTGATGGCATCGCGCCCAGACTTCTTGATCGCAGTCTCGCGACTGGCGATGAGTTGCCTGGTCGTACGAGCCAATCCTCGTCCTCTTGCATATCTGCTAGCCACCCCATTCTATCGGCTGTATGCCTGACCGAGAAGGTCGATCTTTTCGACCAGACAGCCAAGATATTGCCCAGTAGACCTAGATTGGGCATGCGTCCGAAAATTATCTTGGACACCTTGCCACACGTTCGCATCATCCAAAAGCGGCAGCCCATAATGTGTCACTCGTGAGGTACCCGGTTGGCATCTGGGCGCCGACCATTTGGTACCGCTGATAAGCGACCTGCCCGTCCTCTTGTCTTTTCAAAAGGTTTATTTATCGCCATGTCCCACGCGATCGGGTCTGGTCCTTGCGTCGTGGTCTACTCCTCTACATTCAGGCCCAACCTTACAGCCCGTTTAACGCGCGATGGCGAACGAAAAGAACGACTCGCCGGTCTCTCCCATAGACGTTGGGAAAGAACAGGGTGTCTTGACTGGCGAGAAACTTGCTGCTGTGAGTGCCAACGACAAACAATTGCACGAACTGAGTTGACACGCTTGTGAAGGGCGCGCATACCAAGGAGCTCCACCGTCTCAACTCTGAGGAAGAGGTCTTCGAATCGTGAGTTCGGTATTCAAGACCTTGATCACAGCCGAAGCTGACGACTTTAGGCATCTGAACGTCACAGAAGATGATCTCATTGAGGCTAAGGCCGTCGCTGCCACACTCTCCTTGGAAGGAGTGCGCAAGGTATGATGGAAGGATGTGTAATATGAAGATGTCGTTGACACGGGGCGCAGATGATGGAGACTGTGCTGAGGATTCACAACCGTGATCCGAACTTTCCTCACAGCGTTCTCCTGAAAATCCATGAATTTCTTGGTGAGTAGTGGTACATGACGAGGACTTCCCGCGTCACCAAGACTGACACGACAGCAGACAACGAGAATATTTTCGAGAATCCCGAGAAGCATGAGCAACTGATTTGGGAGATGAAGCTTGAAGCTGCTTTGATTACCAACAACAGCCCCTACGCTGAGGTGCGAGCTGTTGTTGACAACAAGGACGACCCTTCACTTCCGTGCGGGACGATCCGAGCGTGGACCATTGGTGTCTTCTTCTCGGTGTTCTTGGCCTTCATCAACCAGGTACGTTGTAGACCGCGGACCTCGCTCCATGAGTCCCTTGCAAAATGCTAACAATGGGAATAGCTCTTCAGTATCCGTCAACCCCTCATCAGTATCGAATCCAACGTCGCCCAGCTTCTTGCATTTCCCCTCGGTAAGGCATGGGAGAAGTTCATGCCGAACACCATTTTCTCCATCTTTGGTTACAAACTTGCCCTCAATCCAGGCCGATTCAACAAGAAGGAGCACATGCTTATCGCCATCATGGCAAACACTGCAAAGAGTCTGCCGTACACACAGTACATTGTCTGGACTCAGGTCTTGCCCCAGTATTTCAACCAGCCATACGCCAAGAGCTTTGCCTACCAGATCCTGATTGCTCTCTCCACCAACTTTATTGGATACGGTCTCGCTGGTAAGTACACGCGTTATATACCTCGGAGGCATCTTTGATTCTAACGACGACTAGGCCTCACCCGTCGATTCATCGTGTACCCTTCGTACTGTGTGTGGCCGGCGTCTCTCGTCACGATCGCCCTTAATTCGGCGCTCCACAACGAGAACAACACTGCGGTTCCGGGACCGTTCAAGAGATTGTACTCGATGACCCGATACAAGTTCTTCCTGTGGTCCTTTGCCGCAATGTTTGTTTACTTTTGGTTCCCGAACTACATCTTTGAGGTCCTCACCTTCTTCAGCTGGATGACTTGGATCTCGCCCGACAATCAAAACTTGGAGATTTTGACAGGCTTCCGCAACGGTTTGGGAATGTTCAACCCCTGGCCTACCTTTGACTGGAACGTCATGTGAGTATACGCCCCTCGACTCATCGAGAATCAGCCCAATCTGGATCAAACTTGCGCTAACTTTGTTCTCCCATATAGGCTTTTCGACAGTGTCGATCCCTTGGTAAGTACCCTGAACCAATCTAGTGTCTAGATATGGACATTTCTAACCTTTGAATGAACAGATGGTTCCTGCCTTCTCCACCTTCAACCGCACCCTCGGCATGTGGTTGATCGGTTTCGTGATCATGGGTCTCTACTACACCAACGCCTGGAACACTGCCTACCTCCCAATCAACTCGAACCGTGTCTTCGACCACTTCGGCGAGCTCTACAACGTCTCACGCGCCCTTGATGACCGTGGCATGTATGACCATGAGAAGTACATGAACTACTCGGCCGCCTACCTCGGAGCCGCTAACACACTGGTCTACGGCGCATTCTTTGCCCTCTACGCTGCTGCTGTCACCCACGTTGCCATTTTCCACCGCTACGAGATCATGATGGGTTTCAAAAACATGTGGGCCAGTATTCGCCGCCAGAAGAAGACCGTTGCCGAAGGCGAAGATGCTGGCGAGTACAAGGACGTCCACAACCGTCTCATGGCTTCCTACCCTGAAGGTGAGCACCACAACAGTGATGAAATACGGCAAACGCTAAAGTCCTTCCAGTTTCCGAGTGGTGGTACCTTGGCACTCTCATTGTCGCAGCTGGCTTCGGCTTTGCAGGTGTCGCAGCATGGCCTACTTATACTACCCCGGGTGTTGTCCCCTACGGTATCTTCTTGGCCGTTATCTTCGTCATCCCTATCGGAATCATCAAGGCCATGACAGGTATTGAGGTCACTCTCAACGTTCTGGCCGAGTTCATTGGTGGTATGTGGGTACAGGGCAATGCTCTGGCCATGAACTTCTTCAAGTCCTTTGGGTAAGTCTATAAAACCCTCCCCACTTGGGGTTGCGCCTGGTGCTAATGGTATCGAATCAGTTACGTGACATGCGCCCACGCTGTTCACTTCGCCAATGACTTGAAAGTCGCTCATTACCTCAAGATTCCTCCTCGCCAGACCTTTGCCTGCCAGATGGTTGCCACTCTCATCTCCACGTTCGTCTGCACCGGCGTCATGAACTTCCAGATCAACATCCCCAACGTCTGCACTCCCAACGCACCCATGCGTTTCCTGTGCCCGGGACCTAACACCTTCTTCACCGCCGCCGTTCTCTGGGGCACCATTGGACCTATCAAGGTCTTTGGCCACCAGGGACAATACAACTACCTCCTGCTCGGCTTCCCTCTGGGTATCATCCTGCCAGTCCTGTTCTACTACCTGATCAAGTTCTACCCCAAGAATCGCTACCTCCGCCAGTTCCACCCCGTTGCTCTCTTCTACGGCGGCATCAACTGGGCTCCGTACAGCTTCTCGTACGCCTGGCCCGCCGTTCCTATCGCCTGGTTGTCCTGGATCTATGTCCGCACCCGCTACTTGGCCTTCTGGTCCAAGTACAACTTTGTGTTGTCCGCCTCGTTCTCCGCCGGCATTGCACTTTCGGGCATTCTCATGCTCTTCACCGTCCAATGGCTCGGTGCCGAGGTGAACTGGTGGGGCACCACTCAGATTGGTGCCGGTTGCGAGGGTTCCGCATGCACCCTCAAGACCCTGGCCGAGGGTGAGCGGTTCTACCCCTGGTGGAACCCTTCTCAGGTTCCGGCTCCCTAAGCTGCTTCATCGCTGCTTGTCTCACTGGGCTTTTTTGCTTCTGTTGGGCACGCAATGATGAGAGCTGTAGCGGATCTTCCGCCAGACCAATCTTTCATTCACACGCACTCATTCACAATGACGTCTGTTCATAACCAAGGTAGATATTAGAGAGATGGGTGAGCCTGCGGGCTGATATGTAGCTTTGAGCTGGTTTTCCTAATATCCCCTTATGCTGAACACAGAGAGCCACCTCTCTTAGAACAACATCGTAATACCAATCGTTGTCGAAGGATGAACCGCATGGTTCCGTGTCTCACGCCGGTGCATGAAGCACAACCGACTGGATGCTGCAAGTGACTGTGTCACCGCTTACAGTCGCACTCGCGCCGGAGATGGTATAGTTTGTCGCTGAATCGTAATTCTCCGGCAAGCTATTGCACCAACTAGAGTTTGAGCTGCCGATAGACGTCTGAACGGTGTCAGTTGCGTTCCTTGATTGACACTGTGACACAGATGAACATACAATTACAACGTTGTCGAATGCCAGTGGACCGAAGTCCCATGAGACATCGTATCTGAGACATCCTAGTCAACGCTTCGTTGTCAGACTTGACATCTGCTATTACTTACAACTCAATAGCAAAAAGCGCTTGATTGAAAGACTTGTCGGCTGGGGTAGGAGGTAATTAGTGCCGCCGGTCTCGCTTATCATCAACTTGCAGCTTACCCAAAGCAAAGTCATTAGTAACACTCTGGCCTCCGGTCTGTCTCGTCACGATGCTGGTCCACGCCGAATCGTCCGATTTGAGAGTGTTCTGGAACGATACTGTCTCCCCACCGTAGGTGTTGAAGCCTCCACCCCAGGGGAGACTTGGGTTAGAGCAGCACCATCCGGATCCCAGCCACCAGGTTCCGCTACGACCGTCGAGAACGTTCTGATATACGCCAGAGTTATCGGTCGGCTGCAAGCCTGGCCAGAGGTAGTAAACACCGGCGCGCGGTAGAGACGGGATCACCATCTCGCCCGAGAAGGAGGTGAACTTCTGTCCGGAGGCGGGGTAATACCGGAGGAAGTACCATGTCACTGCTGATACTGGACTGGCTAGGAGGAGGAAAGGGAGAAGGAAGATGGCGCGGTGCATTTTGCCGGCGCCTATATACTGGGAACTTTGAAACTGAAGGTGAAAGTTGTGATTACCTTTACCCAGGCAAGAAGAAGAAGAAGCAGATGCTGCACCCACCCAGACCTTTTATGTCCAAACTCCACGAGCCTATCTTGACGTTTCCTGCAACCATTCAAGCAGGAAACTGGGACACTGCCATGCCTGGTGGCAGTGGCCGTGCTCCCTTTGCCAATTCAGGAAGTTGGACAACTTCCTGACCAGGATCAGCTACTGGTTAATCGTCTGAAGTAACCCTTCTCTATCGGCGGTGTTCGGACGGAAGCTGCCCCGCCTATTCTTTGATACCAGGATGCAACGTGTGGATACATCCTGATCCGAAATCAAAGCGCCATTTGCCGTTTGCGCTGCGGCAGTTGTTGACTCCCCTGTATCACGCGATAAGAAGGCCGCATGTGCCAGTCATTCTGGCTGAACTTCATTGGGACGCTTAAGTCTGCTTAGGCAGTGGACAGCGACAAGGATGCCAAGTAAGGTACGAGCGGAATCAGGATGAAGCTTCGATTGACTTAGAAAACGGTGCGTGACAACCCGTGCTCAAACTACGGAAATAGTCATCTGAAGATCATGGACCCTTGGTCATGTCTTGATTCGCAGCAGGATTGGCATCTACTGCCCGAAAAATCATCCATCAATTCAAATATGGGTTTAATCACATAAGATGCGCCTTGGTACCTCCGCCGAATCGACGAGTTGCTACCTTGCGTCCGCAGCGCTGGCAGCTGTGAACGACGTCCTTGAATGGCCTCATGGCGTACGGAGCGAACACGCCAACCCCGGTGGTGCAGAAGAGCATGACGGCCATCCAACTACAAAACAATTTAGTCAAGTGTTTGCGATATTAGTCATGGTTGGTCCTGACTTACTGCGTTCCTTTGCCAATGGTATAGTCGGTGGTGGTGGGAATGACTCCCTTGCAAGCAGGGCACTCAATCAAGGCGGGCCATCTCTTCACGAGAGCAACGGGCACGATGTTGGCCCTGGAGCCTTCACCGAGAGATTCTCCATGGTTACAGTGGACGACGTGGCAGTATTTGACGTTGGGCCCAGCAGTTCCGGAACTGCTAATAGCAGTTGATGCGGGAGTATGCATTGCCTGGTATTGAGGAACCGGAGATCGGATGCTGAAGTCTTCGGGAGCGTTCGACATCGTTTCTAGGGGGTATCGATCAGCGTTGGCGATGGGAGCCTCCTTCAGCAGGTGGTATATCTTACCAAAAGCACTCTTGCTCATGCCTGGATTGCAGCTAATACGGGTATGTTGCTATGCTGGAATGAGAGGATTTATCTGATTGGGAGGTCATCGAAGACTCGGGAAGAGCTCATTCATATAGAACAACCTCTCGAATGATATGACGCCCCAACCACCGGATAACAACTCCGTTGACCAATAGTCACGGTACAGGTGGGATCGTTGCTGTGATGAAACACGGAATCTGCCAACTTGTGTCTGCCACACGTCAGTTGCATGTCGCTGTATGCAATGTTGTGTGAAATGTTAAGGCACTACCGCCCATGTTATTCAGCAATATCAACCAGAGCCAATGGCATCGTGAGAGAAACGGTGCTGCCAAGGAAGAAAGCCATTTTCCGACGAGTCGACGACTCGTCTTCTTCGTTGCTGCGAGTCTGTTTCCCGTTCCGGCAGTCGAATCCTTCGGGAAAATGTAGCGCTCTAAATGCTGCTGCCTGGTCGTCTCAAAATAGCTCCAGAGCTCGTATTCCCTCTCTGCCGATCGTCGAATCCGTCTTCAGCTCCACAACCATACAAAAACCGTATCTTAGTGGACTGAACAGGCTGTAGTATCAATGAGGATTCGAATTTTCCTAGGATATGGCTTTCCGCATTTGATGACCCTGGTAGGTGATGCTTTTGAGGACCTTGGCCATAGGGCCTCGTGACGATGTTGACCAGGTATCCTTTAGCGAAGTGGATCTCAACTTAGTCAAGGAAGAAACCAAACACCAGATTTAGTTTTGAGGTCAGGTGCTTTGTCCTCAATGTTGAGGGGCGCAACGAGATGTTGACTCTGCGAGTCAATGGAGGTGGCACTGCAAGGACTTGAAAATGGTAGAGAAAAGATATAGGTACTCCTACCGAGCCGAAGCTCTTCACTGACCCATCAATCACATGCATTTCCCCTCTAATCGATCATCTTCTGAACGCAAAGCCAACTCAAGAAGTTGTCTGGAAGCTGGGGGTTAAAATGAAAGGTGTTCATCATAAATTCTGTAGATGAGTGTTGATGAAAAGAAGGCGATGTTGTACAACAGACTAGACCTATGTCCATGTATTTAATAGGTCCCCTACCGTCCTGCAGAACCTCGTTCCACCAGTCGTCATGGCCTTCAGACTCACACAGACCGTCGCAACCTGCCTCCGCGAGCCCTTGGCCCCTCAGGTCCTGCTTCTTGAAAATACGGATTTTCCTCTCTTGTTAGCATCCGCAGCCGGTGCTGTATATACCAAGTCATCCACGCCATTCCCTACCAGAGCTGTGAACAGCGGCTTCAGAACCTCTCGAGGTTTTGAGTGCATCTCCGCCAAGCTTTGGAGACAAGGAAAGTCCCAGTTGTTCTTCCACCAATCACGCAATCTCCCCCCTTTATTACCATTGCGATGGGCGTTGAAATATACTAGAACCTGCACCGAAGTATTCCAGAAATATGTGTTAAACGGAAGCTTGCTCCATCCCATGGTTTTATCGATAGAAGTCTCTTGAATAGGGCTGCGTAACCAACTATATCCTCCGGGCTGCCAGTCACACTCGGTGAATCGATGCCTCTATCGGCAGCCGCCTGTCGCAGCCCGAGACTATCGGATGATACGACGTACAGACCGTCGTCTTCTTCGAAAAAGGTGGGGATAAAAAGATCTTGGATTCAGTCCAGATCAATGCCGATGTCATGTTGCTGAGCTTATTGAACAGCTTTTCAGGATGATCAGTCTGGAACTTTACCTATTGATCGTGATTTTGTCGCTTCGAAATACGCCAAATAAGAGACCAGCGAAGAGAATAACCGGGACAACAGCTTGAACAAAGCATAAGGGAACGTACTTTGGACCCTAACAAGGATATCTGGCCTGTCATATGGCTCGGGAGACCAGAGAGCTTCTGTATTACCTTCAGTGTTGAGCTTTCCGTAGATGTGGGTTCGTGGTGTCCTCGTCCAGGCCATGATGCCGAGTGTCAGGTCTTTCACGGCTGGCATTCTCGACTACTTGCTGCCCGGGGAAAGACTTGGCGAAGAAGGATTAATGATCTGTGCACCTTGAATGAGTGTACGGAAAAGAGTTCAAGCCAGTGATGACTTAACTAGCATGAACCCTTGGCGAAGAGAACGCGAGAGAATCATCTTCCTATTGAATGAATCTACTCGATTGATTCAAGTACGCATATGAGACATCGCGCACCATGAAATATAACTCATTCATGTATGCTACTTGCTAAATTGCATACTCCTCCAAGAACCGAGGTGACGCGACGTTTGCCCTGTGATTTGGCTTAACATAAGTCAAGATGAGGTGGCAAGAAGCCGGGTCTGTGTGGTCGGTGCGCCTTGTCATAGGACAACCTCATGTGCCAATGGATGTCGGTAGCATCGGAAAGACTTCTTGCAATGCATATAAGAGATGATGATTCGGCAACGATCAAATCTTGACCGGAAGGAATCTTTACTTCCAGGCCTCCAGAAATTGGGCGGATAATGGTAGTTCACAACTTAGTATAGACATTTGGCTTCTTGTTCATCTGAGAAATTTAGACGGCTTAATTCAAGTTGTCCTTCTATACTCCCTCGGATGATTGTTGCGGTACAGTGATCTCAAATTGTAAAATAGAGCGCCGCCTCCAGCAGTTGAGCGCTTGTTAATTCTGTAGCTGTCGGATTGGAAGCCCAATTCGACCTCGAGTCAGCGCCAGCGCAGGGGCCATCTGAGGGTCTCTATATCAGCGTTTGACCGGCGATCCAACCACCGGTTGGAACCTCTCTTTTCCACTTCACGCAGAGATCAATACAAGAGTAATTGACCCTTCGTCACCACGGTTCGATCGAACAAATCACCCTGTGATCACGTAAACCAACAGTAGCACATGCAATTCAAGAGCGAATGGGCGCCGTTTAGAAGCAGACTGATCTCCAACATCAGGCTCGTACCCGGGCATCCAGTCAAGCACGTCTGCGGCGCCACGCGCAGTATGAATATACCTTAGGTACACCAGCCATAACTTGGCTTCAATTCTCAACTGAGATTTCGGACATTCAATAACCCCTGCTTGATCGAGCGTCGGTGGATTGGCTTAGCTCCAGTTCCCGACACTTATGTGTCATCAATTGTTTCGGGATTTCTCAGGCTCTAACTTCTCTATCTCGGAGCGAGCGCATTCAACTCTCTATGACACCTGTCGCTTAAAATGGCAACCATGTATTGCATGAGTCTGATTCTAGACCAACGCCGCTATCATCAAGACCAATTCGCCGTTGGGTCATTGCCAGCTTGGCCTTGACCGAAGCCAAAGCCGTACGTCTCCGGTTGCAACGGTTGAGATCCGAGTGGACTGCCCGGCTTGCCGCTCTCAAAGGGAGTACCAAGCAGTTGCGCAAGCCTCATTGTAAGATTCTGGTCTCGGTTGGGCAGATTCCCCATGAGTCCTTGAATGAGATACATCGGATGTGTTGCCGTGCCGAGCAAAGAATGCAGAACCTAAGTATCAAAAGAACAAAAGTATTAGCCGTGGCTCCAAGCTTGTAATTCAGCCAATGTCTCACCTGCGCATCTTCACTGAGACTGAAACCCGGTATGAGGGACACACCACCGCCGTCATTGCCGACCAGATTCTGGGTGCGCATTATGTTCTGAGCATCATCAACAGTATGTTGCGCCGTTCGCTGCATCATGGCGCACGCCGTCAAGACACGTTTCAAATCACATCCTTCTGACTTTTCGAACTTTTGAAGGAAATGGGCAAAATTTCGCGTTGCTGCCAAGTCTCCCCGAGCGCGAGAAGAACCTGGACTCTCGAGCACATCCGTCAAGAGAGTGATGCTGGCGCAAAGGGGGTAACACAAGATTCGCCTGTAAATGTGAGCTGAGTGTCTAGGACCAAGGACCAAGGACCATTGATTCGCGCGCGGAAGCTTACCATAGGTCTGCGTATTGCGGCGTTATAATAGTTCGGAATAGTCCCAAGGTCGCGTGCGCCGCCATGCGGCATCGCTTCTGCGAAAAGGACAGCTGGATGTAGGGCATTTCGAATCCAGCGGGCGTTCCCACAAAAACAGCTACGGTAGGGTATTGATCGTGCCGTCTTGCTGCCCAGTGCACCATCATTGTGCATCTGTAAAAGGCCAAGTGCAGATTTAGAATGTCTGGCGCAATATTTGCCCCTGATGCCGGGGTTTCATAGGATGGTTGAAGATTTGTGGGCATACTTGACCTCCATTCCTCAAGAAGGGCATCTAAATCGATAATGGCCTTGACCAAGTCATCGTCGGTAAGCCGGAGACCCTTTGCTGTATATAAACGTCTGCGGATCGAAGACTCTACCATCGCGAGCTTGGCTCTGAGGTTCAAGATGTCAACGCCGTCTCCCCATCCACTCGGCAGCTCCGTCTCAATGTCGTCGTCGTCTTGTATCGAATCTAGGCCGTGGTTCAGACCAGTTTCTTTGTCGAGTATGTAGGCCACCCAGAACACCCGGCTTCGTGCCTCGACATCCTGTGCGCACATCGACATCATGGTGCAAGGCTGCCGATGCAGCCCAATGTTTTGAGACAGTCTTACTGCGGCAGATGATAGCAAAGTTGCTGTTCTGGTGCAAGTAGTTCCCTGCATGAAGACTGCCATGGCGACTATGGCCTGCACCGATAGCAAGTCACTGCCCTTGACCATCAGCTCTGTAAGGACGGAAAATGCATTTTTGAAGAAAGGCCAGGCGAGTTGACAGACTTCCTGAAACGCATTGTTGATAGTCTTCCACCGTGTTCCGACGGCAATAACAGCGTTCATATATGCCCAGCCTGATGTGCTGTTAAAAGTGTCATCTGCTGCTGGTAATGTTTCGAAATGGCGAACAAAGTAGTGAAAGTTCAAAAGCGGGTAATTTCTGATTACGTCTTCATAGAGAGGCATCAAGATAGTAATGGCCTCCTCCCGTTCGAGTCGAGGGGTGAAGACCTGTCTGTTGAATGTAGAACAATAAGAGGCGGAATTAACCTCCCTCATACGACTTGCAATGACGGCAAAGGCTGGCATCTTGTCTGATATTTGCGACGGTGGTTCGCGAATCTCTCGAGACTGAGGGACAGGCGTCTGACTACCTCTGAGGTTGGATTGGCCGCCAGAGTTACGAGACGGGCCCGGCGCTGGCGGTACTACGACTTCATCACCCATGGGGTGATCTGTTGGGGCGTGACTGGCTGCGGCTTGTGCGGCATCAAGCCGGTGGTTCGGTATTGGCGCTGTGCTGGTTGGTATCGCCGGGCCGGCCAACACAGAGACAGACGCGGCATCAGTTTCTGAAGGCGATATCCTGGTCGGCGGTGCCCCGGGCCTCGGAAGCCCAGCTTGATTCAGAACAGCTTCCATTTTTGACAGTCGCTCTTCTAAAGCTTGGATGTACATTTTGCTACATAATCAAGGTCAATTCCGACATCCATTTGTGATGGATGAGTATGTAAGTGGGCAGATCCTGAACTTGGCATACCTTCGGCCTGGGCCACGCCGCCTCTGTACCTGCTGATACACGCACTCCAGGCTGCGATTGACGCAAGGAGAACATGATGGCGTCTTTCCGTCGCACTTGATCTTTTTAGATTGGCATCGTAGACAGGCCTTTATTTTTACGGATAAGTGTCTGTGGACAATTTCTTCTCAGGGTCCTACGAACCTTCGCAATGCGGGAAGCTTTGTCTTGCGTCCGTCCGCTCTGGACGGACTCAGTATCCATGGCATCCATGGTAAAGCGTGTATGTTTGTGTGCCACACCGGTGTGCGGAGGTGTGGGACGCCGGAACGCCAACCCCGGACGCTTCACCTGAGAATCGGATGGCTGTTTCGGGAAGGCGTCCGGACTGGGCGACCCACACAGCCGGCCGGCGTGTTGCGGTATGCTAATAGTAACTCGGCTCCGAATAGCAGCCGGCAGTCCGTAAACGAGAAGTGAAATGAGAAGCCGACCAAGACCCCTGGGTCGAATCGGGATAATTTCAGGAAATTTCTCAGTGAAGATGATGGAAGAGAATGAGGTAGTTTCATGATTGGCCCGGTCACGTAATTTTCCGGAAGTAAAATGCATCCGTGCTACCCGCGTTAGGTAAGGAGGCTGCTGTCAGTTAGACTGCCGCGAAAGGAACTCCCCACAAAGTAATCTATCCCATATGGGGAATATGGCCGTTTTGGGGCACTCTGTACACTCTACCTTATGGGCCCTTGGTTTAACGGAAGCAATTTGTCACCGAGATATTTCAATACTTCCCCACGTTGATTCCCCAAGTTGATAACAACGACGTCGATTGCATCCACCTATACGGCAAAATCGAGTTGCATCCGCCGCCCAGAATAGAGAGGATGCAGCCAAAACTCGTAGTAAGAAAGGCATCTATGAGAACCACTGCCAAATGCTTCGGCTTGACTGATGTTATTTTCGACTTCTTCCTCCCGAAGGACTCACAACACACAAACTTATGGATGACGTGTACGTACAGATCCTACTTAATCCCTATAAGAACCTTCTATATCTTGACCCTCGGAATACCAATCCAGACAGAGTCGCACGTCACCAACTCCACACCCTCTGCGTCTTTGAGAATAGCTCTAAGCAGGATTTTCTTTCCACGGATATCCCTGATCTGTCCTACCCCTAGCACAACACATGGCGTTTTGATGGGCTTGAGGTACTTGATGTTCATGGACGAGGTGACTGTATTCATCTTGAAAACTGGATGCTCTCTCTCCGTGTCCATGTTTCTTTGAATCAACACGCCAAGGACCTCGTCGATCAGCACCGCAGTGATGCCGCCGTGTGCGATGTTGGGGTAGCCATCAACCCCTCTTGAAAGCGCAAATAGGGACGAAAGTTCGGTGATGACGGATTTTCCCGGCGTCGTGAGATGGAAGCTGATGCATGCCGGTATACCACTCGCGTTGTTGAGCGTCTTCCCGAAGAACCTGTCGTGTGGGTTGGTGTTTTCTGGGACACGGGATTGCGGAACGAATGTGGTAACTTTTGGGTTTGCGAGGAGGGTGCGACACCAAGGCAGAGCCTCTATTTCGCCGATTGTTTGCGGCAACCTGTCGGCGTCCTGATTGCGACTCATTATGAGTTACAACTACTGGTGATTGAGATCAAGAACGGACAGGTACGCGTTGACGATTACGAACGTGGTGATGGGTAAGTTGTTGATTGCGAGTGCGCAGCGATGTCAGGCCAGCAATCGTGTTTGGACCTCGGCAAAAATTGCACAGCGCTTTTGGCATGTTTCACGTGAGTACAGCACGCGTCTAGTCTACTAGGTGCCAAAGAGCCTGGACCAACAGCATATGCAATCCAGCAACACTTCAAATATACGACGACTAAAATATTGAAATTGTAACAATGCTTCATTCAATTGTTTTTGGTAAGTTTCAAGTTACGGACGTCTGATTGACATCCTTAAGTTGAATTCACAAAGTTAGAATTAAGTATATGAGGCATGATCTATATGCATGTTTCAGCATGAAGACCCGCGGTTGAGATCGATCCTTGTGATTTGCAGTTGTTACGAACTCAAATACTTGATTACTCAACTAGACTCTCGAGGTGTATGGACCAATCACCCAGCTCTCCTCATGTTACGCATACCTTCGTCTTAAGCTCTTCTCATTCCGCGGGAGCAGGAACCAAAGCCAATCTTACCTCATAGCAAGGCCGATCTGCTCTAATGACTACAGTATTCACTTAGCCCGGAGCTCATCTTCCAGTTTACAGGATAAGGCCGGTATAAGGGGGAAAGCTGATCAAGAAATCGAATTAAGAAACTTACCAGTATTACCGGGAGGAGAGTATCTCGCCTCATGTCTATCTCCGGATGCACTTCTGAAGCAGATGAAACCACCCGAAAGAGCGGCTCTGGAAACAAAATCCAATTCGACCTGCACAGCATCTGTGTCGGGGTTGCATCCATAGACTGGCTGGAAGTAGGCCTTGGGGTCTCCGCGCTCCGTCATGAACATCTTGGTAGTGTTGTCATCTGCGGTGTACTATGGACTATTAATAAAATGCCTACGCCAAACTTTGTCTAATTGACTTACTTCTCCGTTAATGACGGCATGGATGATTCCCCTCGACAGCACGCCGTTGACCAGGGTCAAATTGAAAGCAGAGTTTCCAGCCGGACTCAGGTAGAGATGCTGGTCTCCGCCGCCCGCTGACCACAAGTTGATGTAGCGATTGTGAATGATGGGCACAGAGGCATTTTGTATCTGAATTCCGAAACCCTCGGTGATGTTGTTTGAAAGAGGCTCCGTCGGAGGGGTGCATGCCGACACGACAGCGGCAGCCAACAGCACAGTCTTGAGAATTGAGCTGAGCATCGTAAACTTAAATTTGATCAGGTGAATGTCTGGGGAAAGACTCTTTACCAGTATAATTTGCCCTTAGAAGGCGCGAAGGCATGATATAAGCCATGCGACTTATCGCGCCCCAAAAGTGCACCGACCGCCAAGACATAGACGAATACGAGATGCTGCATTATTGTTGCATCGTGCCGCTGATAGGTACTGTTGCAAGCTTGAATGTTGTCGCCGTGATCAATATTCTGCAGCCAACAGGCGGAAAAGGCCTCGATCGTCCCATAGACAACTGGAGGATGGCATTTCAACAGGCACAGCGGCCTTACACCAGCATTTCAGCTCTGCTGACGGTACTTCCAAGGCACTAGAGCCTATGTTTCCTGCCAGATTGGGGCTTAGTGTAGCTGCAAGTAAGACTAGGCACATGTTGACGGCCACTATCAGATGCTGTCCGATATGCGTCTGACTCCTTTGCAATCTCACAAGATCCGGGGCATCTGTGCATAAATAAGGGCTATTGGCCTTCTGAGATGAGCGCGTGAACTTGGTTGGTCTCACTTGACGCGTGAATATCATACTCTTTTCACAGCTCCTCATTTCCCTGGAAATGATCTGATCAAGGCTTACTTTTACAGGTTGCCCAGCCAAGATCATCTCATTCCCATCATGAGCGCGCATCGCTGTCTTACAGGCCCTCATTCATCAGTTTAATAACACAAACACAGTGATTCTTGAATATTGTAATGTTAATGTTCATGCAGGCCAAGGCGTACACAGTATGGCCGGTCTGAAACTTTCTTCCTAAACTTTACCTAAATCACACCCCCGGACGCGTGTTTGATGGGGTGATGTTCGTGTCTAAGTAAGCTGCATTGGCCTTTGCCGCAGGGGACCCCGAGGAGGGAGAGCAGAGCCTGTGAATGGGCCTGGAAATACTAGCGACCCACTGGTCGAGGATAATTTCATGGGCGCTACGACTGTGCCACGGCCGGTGGCTTTGTCGTAAATAATACCCCAGCCCTCCGGATATTAATCACGACTGTGAAACCAAGTGGAAGTGCAGAAGCATAGAGACTCGGAAAGGGAAAACAACAATCGCTGTTAAACTTATTCTTCGTATCGCCTTCGGGATTGAGATACTTCACGTATGACCATGAGATGCGCAGAAGTTGGGTGTGGTATTCGCAGATACCAAAGTCATGACTTTTGATTCATTTCGCTAAAAAAAAGACTTCCGCTTGCTGATGCTGAACTGCTCCTGTGGTGTTTCATCCTGAACTTTTCCAACCACAATATAACTCCATTCCATATTACATTGAGTCATCCGTCTGCTTCTCAATGTAGTCGGCCTTCTGTGGTGGCTTGTCGCTTTCAAACTCCTGTGGCATGGCGATGGGTCGGTTCTTGGCGAACTTGACCGTGGCAAACACGGAGGGAGAGTCCTTGAAAAGCAGCTCAATCTCCTCCAAGTTGCGGCCCATGGTCTCAGGGAAGAGGAAGTAGACGCTGACGGGAATGCAGGCCGAGATGACGGCGTAGACAATGTAGTATTGGTAGCCGATCGTGTTGAGGGCAACGGGGGTGACCATGACAACGACAAAGTTCCTAGGAAATTGTTAGCAAGAAATTGTGATGGAAAAGGCGGCATGTAGTTGTGGCTTACCAAAGCCAATGGTTGGCAGTAGAGATGGAAGACATAGCCATACGGAGACGGATGGGCGCAATCTCGGTACAGTACAGGAAGTTGGCACCCAGAAAACCGATAGGCACAAAGGTATTGAACAGGTAGATGAAGCAACCAGCAGCGATCTGGGCAGCCTTGTTGTCCTTGGGGAACGATGTCGTGATGGCCAGGCAGGTCATGCAAGCAGCCATTCCGCAACCACTGAGGATGAAGACGGCACGGCGACCGAATCGATCAATAGCGAAGAAGGCCAAGAACGATGAGAGGAACTTCCAGGTAAGGGCACCTCCAGCGAGGGCCTTGGACTGCTCGGGCGCCATACCCAGGTTCTGCTGGAACAGGATGGGAGCGTAGACTGACACGAGGTTGCTTCCCGACATCTGCTGGTAGAACTGGAGCAGAATGCAGAGTCCGAAACGGTAGGCGAGCTTGTCGTCGCCCATCTTGAGCATGTCCGAGAGCTTAGCGGCGTTTTGCGTAGTCTCCTCGAGCGAGTGCTCGATGCCAGCAACCTCGGCCTGGACTTCAAGGGAGTCCTCAGGCAAGCCCCGAAAAGCGGCAATGATGGTACGAGCCTCGGCGGATCGGGCCTTCATGACGAGCCATCTGGGCGACTCAGGAAGGAAGTAGATGCTACCCATCAACATCAGGGAGAAGACAATGGCGATGGCAATAGGAGGACGCCATGTGACGGGGCCAGTCTTGAATTCCCAGAAGCCAAGGTTGATCCAGCTCTCCAAGACGTAACCGACGCAAGTGAAGAGGCCGGTAAGGACAACCTGGCGGCCACGGTCCTTGGCGCCGGAGGTCTCACTCTGCCACACGGGCACGATAGAACTGAGCTGACCGACTCCGAAACCGACGATGAGGCGACCGACGATAAGCTGCGCCAGTTGGAAGGAAGCGCATTCGAGGATCTCTCCGATAAGAGTGCAGACGCCTGCAAAGAAGATGACATTGCGACGTCCGAAGGCATTGCCAGACCAAGAGCATGAGAGGGCACCGAAGAGGGCACCAACGGTGAAGGTAGCGACGACGAAACCCTGCAGCGTCGAGTTGTCGTTCTTGGTCTTGCCGGTGGTGTTGACAGTATCAATTTCAGGGAAAGTCTTGACCCAGTCCTCAGAAGTGAGTAGACCACCGAGACCAGCCTGGTTGTATCCGAAGAGGATGAAGGCCGGGCAGACGACAAGAGCGATCTGAAGAACACTCAGGGCATTGCCCGTGCGGCCGAAGTAGTTCGCACCCATTATCGGGACTAATGTTTTGTGCGCACGGCTGTGATCCGAATTCTTCAGGTGATGGAGAAGCTTCAGCCCGATTGTATGTCCGCACGGAGCAAGGAGAACAGACAGTCGACGAGGATGGGATAGGAACTCAGATGGGACAGCACCTGGGAGAGAGGCGAGGCGACCTCGCTCTTAAGGAATTTCATCAAGCGGACGGCGTCCATCTCAATGTGACTGTTCCCTTGTGGGGAAAGGTCTGCGGAGACCCCGCAGGATTCTGACCGCAAAGCAGATTCATAATCCAAACTCCAAACGAGCTTGCTTTCTCCGTTCAGGTAAGGGTCAGCAATGTGGAGGGGCGGCGAGCAAAAGATGGAGAAACGAAGGCGAGGGGAGAGGGTCCTGGCGGCCCTGGCGGCCCTGGGGACTTGGAGAGGGCTCGCTGCTCGACAAGGTATCTTGTTGACAGAGCTGAGAAGTATTCGTACGGGCGACGACGGGCCTTCATGTGTCGTCAATGCCGACCACGTTCCGTTGTGCGTGGCCGGGTTGACTCGGCCAGGGCTAGGACGGAAGTCGACCGAGCCAGGCACACCCGTCCCGTTTTCCCTGAGGGCGATAGCTTCATCACACCTCCCCCGTGGAGACGCTCAGACGAATTCTCGTTCCACCTATTCGCCGCCTTCGCTCAAGACGACCCTCCCGGGTCCCGCCTTGCTGCTTAAATCCCTCCCACCATCCAGCAAGCAATCTGCGGAACCGGCCTTTGCCAGGCGGCTAAGGGGGGCAGAAAAAGCCAAAAGAGTATAGTCGTAGTCGTATGATCCCAGATGCGGGCCTTAGAAGCACGTCGGATGCAATGGATGGTTCGGTGTGGGAAAAGGTTCCACCTAGAAACCCACGACGCCTCTGTTGAAGCGTCGAAGTGTCGTTGAACTGTTGACGATGTTCCGCCCAGCACTGATAACGATGCCATGCAATGCGGCGACAATTAAGCAACAGCAGCCAAGACGGCAGCATGCGATGCCAAGGCCCCAACAAAGGCCAAGAGTTGACCAAAAGAACCATTATCAGTGGATATGCGAACCGAAAGAACCCCCCACGTCACGAACGGGCTGGCTGACTCGCGGCGTAAAGAAGACGGCGGCGAACGGGGATAGTGACGACGGCGTAATACACGGCGTAACTAAGCAAGACACGCGCTATGCCTTCTAGAAGTGCGCAATAAGAGCGGCATAAGGCCCGCACCCGTTTTCTCCCCTGCCCTCCCCTTCGATCAGATCTCATGCTGATGAAAAGGGGCTGGGGGATTTGCCGAATCTTGGAAGCATATAAGTCTCAGGACGGCCCTCGTGTTCTTCTCCTCGCCGGCCAGACCCTGGCGACTTGTGGCACTCACTACGAATGCAACGAGCCGATCGGCTTCGCTCTCCCTTTTCGCGGCGAGCTTATCCCAATGCAGGCGTATGACCACTAGCTGCGGCACTTGGGATTGGGTCTGTAACCTGCATGCGAGATTCGGTGATCCATCCGCACCTCGGAGGTTTACCGAGTCCACATTGTCCTGCGGCTCTCTCTGTGACTTTGCCAATTCCCATTGCAAACTCTTTGCGACCACGTTACTCAACGAGCAGCAGCCACAAGGAAAAAATCTAGAAAAAATTAAATAAAAATAAAATAAAACTTGAAACATTGAATCTGAAATCAAGTTATCAGTCTGATGTGACTGTAAACAATGTGTCAATCGGGAGCCACGACTCCACTAGGTTCCGCGACGTTTCCGAGCGTGTAATCCGTAGCCGAAGCAGAACTTCTCGCGAAATCCGTAAGGTACACAGAAAGCTTCCTCCTCCCAAACCTTAGCAGACCATGGTTCGCGCAGCGAAGCTACTCCAGCTTTTCCCCAGACGTCGACGTTTCCAAATAACCCTTCTTCACGGTGACAAGTCCGCAATTCGCGAGAACGCGGGGGACAAACCCTGTTCTGTGACGTTCAGGTCAGCCCAAAAACCACATTTTCGGACGGCGGTATTGGATCGTCGGGTCTTCTAGCGTAACTCACTTTCCGTCTAGTTTTCGTGATGCCCACTTGTCGACGGCTAACAACG